AAAAAATAGTTTGCCTAAAGGGCATGCAGCTGACAAATAGAGGAACCAAGATTCAAACCTGGGAGTCCCTTGCTCAGAGCCCAAGCGCTTTCTTCTAAAAGTAAAGAAACTTGGGGCCGGCCCTGTGGCTTAGCGGCTGAGTGCGCACGCTCCGCTACTGGCGGCTCAGGTTTGGATCCCGGGCACGCACGGACGCACCGCTTGTCCAGCCATGCTGAGGCTGCGTCCCACATACAGCAACTAGAAGGATGTGCAACTGTGACATACAACTATCTACTGGGGCTTTGGGGAGAAAAAGGGAAAAAAAAAAAGGAGGATTGGCAATAGATGTTAGCTCAGGGCGGTCTTCCTCAGCAAAAAGAGGAGGACTGGCATGGATGTTAGCTCAGGGCTGATCTTCCTCACAAAACATACATACATACATACATACATAAAAAGTAAAGAAACTTAGATAAATGTAACCACCTAAAAAGCATCTCTTCTTGGTCTTCAGACACGAATAAAATTGATAGGGCAACTTGCTGCAGTTTTGTTCACTCTCTACTATCCGTTTGAAACAAATGGCAAATAAAATAATAGAATTTAGGATTCACAAAGTCGATGCATGGCTTTTCACGCCAAGATCACCAATACAAAATTGTATGTGTGTTTAGTTTGTGTGTTTGTGTGTGTGTGTATGTGTGCACACGCGTGTATGCGTGCAAGCAAGTGCTGCATGTGTCATGTGTATACATACCCCCAAGAGTTTATCTAGGTTTTATGGGGCCTGAAGCTTATAGTAGCAAGTAGCAAGTAGTTCTAGGGCTCCTCCCAAGGGCCTATCCAAGTGAAGAGCCCTGAAGCTCACTAGCTGCATGGCAAATACACTCTCCACATGCATGTGTGTAAATGAACTGTGTATGTTTGCATGAACATGTGTGGAGGAGCTAACAAAAGCTATTGTCCCTTAAACAGTAGCCTTTGTTCCATTCCTTAGTACGATAGAAACACCTTTTATGGTAGTACTAGTTATTTCTTTTCTGGGAAGACAGAAGATTTATCCAGAATCGAATGGGCCAAGAATTTTTTGAAGAGTGACTTCTGAATTCAAGCCAATGATCACTAGCTAAGTTAGATATGAAGTGCTATCTATGGCTCATGCTCTTTATTTTCAGCAGGCAAATAAATATAACTTATTTTTAAATATCTTCTTTATTCCAGAGATCTTTTTGTTAATATTACTTTTTAGACATGATCTCCTGCACGTATGAAGATTTCAAGAATGTACCAAGAGAACAAGCTGGGCGTTGGAGGAAATAGGAGATGAAAAAGGATAGGAGCCCATGTTTATTTATTTAGAAAACTGTTGTAGAGAGGACGCATGTTCTGTGTTGCCCCAAAAGCCAAAACTAGGAACCAAGGTACATGAGATTTCAGGGAAGTCAGATTCCAACTCAACAAAAGAACTTTCTACCAACTAGAGCTGTCCAAAAATGGTTTGCTTATATTGTGGCCGGCTGCCCATCCCTGGAAGTACTCAGCCAAAACTACTTCTTGGCAGGGGAAGGGGAGGCAGGGGACTTTTACTGAACACAAGTTTGAGTTGATCTAAGAAACCTCTAGAATCCTTTCTAGGTCTAAGATCCAAGCTATTATTGGGCACACATTATGACTGCCAATCATACACACACAGGGCACACACAGTAAGTTGGTTTTTCCTCCATGGTAGAGATGCATCTGTGCTAAGCCAGCCACATTCCCCGACCGAGCCCCTGGTTGCTGAGGAAACATGTCTATGAATGGACTGATCTGACTATGGACATATTCCACAGCCTTAGAATTAAGGTTTTTCATGGCCTAGAACCTGGGGCCTTGATCCCATGCTCTCACCCATTAGTCAGCTGTCACAGGTGGCACTTATGAATGCTATCTTATTAGTTCTGATCATAGGCTTAGGGTTTAGGTGAGAAACTCGCAGAGTTCTGCTTGATCCGCCCCTCCTCCTGCTTTCTCCTGTGCACTCAGAGAGGAACCTTCTCGGCCTGGCTCCCTTTGCCAGCTTTGGGTTGAGAGGCTGAAGAGAGCTAGCCCAGAAGGCCTGGGACAGTATGGAACAGAGTACAGGTCAGCCCTGCTGTGGACATAGCCCACCAAGCCAGGGTGAGGTGTCCTGAGAGGCCAAGGATAGGTGAATGACTTCAGTTAACCTTTGCCCTTTCTGAAGGGGGAACATAACAATGACCATGACCCAGACACTTCTCCTTTGTTCTCCATGTGAGACCTCCTTAGGGGTCTACAGGTCTTTCCTAAAACACTTTAATAATATCAATAACAATAATGGTGGTGGTGATAGTGGCAGTCACAGCAACAAGTAGTGTTGGGTGAGTTTTTACTGTTTGCCAGACGCCGCGATGAACTCGTTACACAAATTACCTCATCGAATCCTCACACTAGTCTGACTCCAGAGTGTAGACCCTTCCCCCTTCCACTTTATTGCCTCGTGTCTCTATGTACACAGAGAAATGGAAACTCAGAAAAGAAAGTGACCTGCGCACTCTGCAGCCCAGTCTTTAGCCACCACATGGTGGAGCTTCTCCAGTCCCAGGAGTGACCTAAGAGGAGGGGCCAGGGTGTAACACGTGCACCAGACCTGGTCTAGGTGCTTCGCCGACGTTCCCCTCATTTAATCCTCACAGCAAACTTCTGAGGTAAATGTTTGCATTTCACAGAGAAGTCCGGGGACTTGCTCAGGGTTTCCTGGTGCAGAGGAGCTAGTGCTCCAGCGGGGCAGCCTGGGCCCTCCCCGCCACAGCAGCCTGCCTCTACATGAACAAAGTTGAACACCCTCACAGACACTAAATTTATATTTCCTGGCCTCCCCTTCCAAAATGGATACACTAATTACTGACCATTTTTTTGGTAATAGTAATCATCAGGAACACATTTTTCAATGTTTTCATTTTCTCTTCTGCTTACTACCGAAATAAAGCATTGCTCAAACGCACAGGATAAAACCCAGCGAGTGTGAGGCCATGTAAATTAAGAAAAGTTCAGGAAGACATTACACTAAACCAAAAGAAACAAAGTGTTGATTAGGGACTTATTTTTGTAAGCGATTAAAATATGAGTCATTAAAATAGGACTGTATTTCAGGCTCTATACATCGTCATCAGAGACAGCATTACCATGGCTACTAGGTTTGGATTAGATCAGCTCCAAAGCCTTCCCAGCTCTGAAAATGCAATCTCTGCCTTAAACAGCATTTTTAAAAGTCTAGTTCAGAACACCTCTGCGTCTTCTTGCCCATTTCATTAAAAGGAAATACCCAAGTGACGTGGTGTCTTCAGTCCTTTAAAGTCTTTTGCTTTATTTAATCATAATAGTACAGTCATGCATCACTTAACGACGGGGATACGTTCTGAAAAATGCATCACTGGGCGATTTCGTTGTTGTATGAACGTCATAGAGTGTACTTACACAAACCTAGATGGTGTAGCCCACTACACACCTAGACTGTATGGTACTAATCTTATGGGACCACCATCGTATATGTGGTACATCATTGATGGAAATGTCGTTATGCGGCACATGACCATAAATAGTGGCAGTAAGTTATGTTAATAACGACCAAAATTTAAAGGAAGAAGAAGGAACAAAGTCAGAGCAAAGACACAAGGACACGTCAGGAATCAGTTAGAATAGAATACTGTGGAACTTTATATAGTACAAATGGAAAAGGAGGAGAGGTTTGCAGAAAGAAAGAAATTAATATGGAGCGTTTCTCAGGTTCAGGCTGAGTTTAAAAGAAAAAAAAATAATTTAACAGTGGCCCAAAATATGCAGTTAAATTAAGTTGTTAATTAAAGTATCTATTAAAAATGGCTAAAATTAGAGACAGAAGGGCATTGTTTGGTATACTTGTTGACTGCCTGTCTGTATGTGGAAGGGTGTGGGGGGACAGTCAGAAGCCTGTGGTATTTTAAAGATTAATCAGCCACCCCTAAAGGGTTTGGAGGCATCCACCTGCATTTTTGAACTTGGATCTAAGCCAAAGGGGTGGAACAAGATCATGACAGGTTTTTTTGCTAATTAACTACTCAGTGGACACTTCAAGTACGAAATATATCAGAACAGAGGGCCCCAGCTCAGACCAGCCCCTGCCATCCTCTGCAAAGGGCTGACATCTAAAGATGATTTTCTGGAGACTGTAGAACCTTGGAGCAATGCCTGTGTGTATTTTTAAAGGAGGGAAGCATCCCAGAATGTGCCAGTTCCTTATAGGATATCTTCAATAGTTAGCACCTCTGACCAGACTTGTGAACAAATATGACCAAATTTGTTCTCTTCCTGCCTGGGAGTGGGGTGGGTTAGAAACGCATGTTGTTTTCTGTTGGGACGATTTCTATGAAGAATCTGTGAGTTGTCATTGGAACATTAAAACTTCATACTTAGTGACTTCAAAATTCTTCTTTGAATAATCTGGAATGCAAGCAAAGGTAGATGTGAAAAGGATATTTTTCACAAAAATAATAGCAATAAATTGGGACAATTTAAATTTCCAATAAAGTTTGGTACATCTTTATGACGGGCTATTATTATGCAGCTACTGGAGCAGTTCAGTAATGTGGAGGGAAAAAGAGAGACACTAAACTCTTATAAGCCTGGTTCTAATTATATAACAATAGATAGTATTAACTGTCTATTATTAGGGCTTTTCACTCTTAGTGGTAGTATTATAGGTGATTTTTGTTTTCTTTCTGGCTTTCTGCATTTTTTTAACTTTTTTATATATTACTTCCGTAATCAAAAAAGTTCAATTAAAAAAAATCACATGGCTATGACCTTCTGAGTTTCAAGTGGCACATCCTGTCCCCTGTAAGCTCGGTGAGGGTAGGAGGCGTGCCTGTCTTGTTCACCATTGTGTCCTTAGGACACTGCCAGGTGTTGAGTCGAAGCTGTCAGTGAATTGTTGTTAAATAAAATAGTCCATTTCTCCATTTCTCTTTCTTTTTTCTCTCTAGGCGATGTCCTCTATGAACTCCTTCAGCATATTCTGAAGCAGAGGAAACCTCGGATTCTTTTTTCACCATTCTTCCACCCCGGAAACTCTATACACACACAGCCGGAAGTCATACTTCATCAGAACCACGAAGAAGGTACTAGAGGAGCCTTCTCTTTCCTTGCCTGAGGCTTAGACAAATCCAAGAGGTTTAATTGTTAATTTGATAAGTTGTTCCTATTCATGTGGTTCATTTTTTCATTCAACAAACATTTATTGAGTGCTTACTATGTATAAGACCCTGGGGGAAATGCCAAGATGAATAAGATATACCCTTGTTTCTCAGCAACTCACAATCTAGGTGAAGAAATGAGATAGATATACACATAAGTATCAAAACATAACTAGAATAGGAGGCACCATAAAGAGGCAGTGGAAGGGGAAATTACATCCAGGTACAAGCATCAGGGTCAGCTTCATGAAGGAGATGGCTCTGGAGGATTCCTTGATGGTCCAGCAGGATTCTGATAAGCAGGGATGAAGTGGAGAACACGCTGGGTAGAGAGAATGACATAGTATGGAGTGAGTTCTTGAGCTAGAGAGCAGTCAGATGACTTGGGTTGTAGAGCTTATCTTTTTTTTTCCCCCAACCTTTTGTAATGAAAAATTCCAAACATACCCCAAATAGAATAAACTAAATACACCCCTGTGAGCCATCGCCCTGCTTCAACAACGACCAACATTTTGCCTTTGCAGAGCTAATCTAAGGAGGTTAGATTGGAACCAGAATGTGGAGGACTTTGATGGATGAAAGTAATGAGGAGTCGTTGAAGGTTGTTAAGCAAATGGTAATAAAAGCTGGAGAAAGGGAAAAAGACCCAAACCAAACCTGATGAACTCTGTGATGGACCAGGGGTTTCCTCTTCACGCACCGAAGGCAGCTTCTTACAGTGCACTCAGTGTAAGTGCATATTTCAGATGTCCCGGAGGTTGCTCCTCTCGTGTGAGTCACAGTACTCATGAAATCATTAGCAGAAAACAGAACAAAAGACCAGGATTGAATTGTGGCCCTGGAGGGAGTTCCATAGCAGGTGTTTGGGCACAGAAATAGGGTATAAAAGTCTTACTTTGAGCACTATTCCATTGAACAGTGATGCATCGAGCCTCTGAGGAGCCTCGTGTCCAAGTCTTCCTGCCCGATTGGTTAGACAACAGACGTGGGGACACAAGTAATACTTTTAAACTTGTACTTTTTCTTAGGACCAGCTTACTAAGGGGCCTAAAACACTGGTCCCTTGGAGTATGTCCTTAAATTGATTGATCATCCCCAAGAGGAGGGCAAATATTTTTGTTGTTGGAAAATTAAAAAATGAGAAGTTATTTGTTTTCTTAATTAACACTTCACGAGAGAGCCTGACTCCAGGTGCCCCCGCCGTCTCTTCCTTGTGCCAAGTGTTTCACAGCAGGTCCCCTCGCTTCTGTGAGGGAGGATAAACGAGAGCGTTTCTTGCATGCTCCCTGCCTGTTTCTCTCATCCTTTCTTCCTCTGGCTTCACCTTTGCTAAATTTAGCAGCTGTCTCCCACCCTCAATTCGGTTTCTTAGCTCTGTCTGCCACATACATTTCCGGCTTGCTTAATAGCCAACAGCTACTCCAGAGAAGAGGCGGTGGGTTTACTGAAGCTTTGACATTAAGGCAAAAGTCATATTACCTAGCCTGCCTCTTCAGATACAAAGGGTGTGTGATGAGGTGTTTTTTCTCACTCTCTTTTTCTCATTATTTAAAAAAAAAAAAAAAAAAAGAAGAAAATTCCTTTTTTTCTTCCCAGATGTGATTGGAGGTTTTGGTCTCACCTCATCACAAATCCTTCCTCTTTTCCCCTTGGCCTGATGTGACTCATAAGTAGGTGTGTTTGTTGTGGTTCTCATTTGCAGGAGCTAATAATAGAGAAAGCTGGCTTACTCTCAGAGCTACTATCAAACCAAGTAAATACAGATGTGCCACCCCACACGCCATAATGAGCTGTGCTCTCAAGTGTTAAGGTGGTGGCGGTGGTGGTGAGCTCAGGAGGTAAAAGAATGGAGCTAATGAGGCCAAGGTCAAGGGCTCCATTGCCCTGTGGACCAGTTAGCTCTGCTTCAGACCCAGCTCTTAAAAGTAGTGTATTTTCAGAGAACAGAGAGAAAAAATGTGTCAGCCAGGAAATGAGATCTGAGAGTATGCGCCCTGCTCCTTCGCCCGTTCAGACGTGGTGCATGCTATCCAATGAGCAGGTGGACGCACAAGAAGGGAAAGTGCGAGTCTTCATCAAGTGGTATCAGATGAGAAGAGCTGTGCAAGGCACACAGGTGATATGAAGAGGCTGCCTGCCCCCGGGCTTCCAGATATATGGGTGCCATGGGTGACAAAGGGACCAACTAGAGAGGTGAATGGACCAGTACAAGCTCCCTGCCTCCAACCACTTGCCACCTCTTTCTCTTCTCCACCAAATAGAAGAATACCCAGCTCAACAGGAATTATCCCTAGAATCAATACTGTTATATTTACTTGTGAATGGTAACACATTAATATGGGCATATGGTAACAGACAGAAAGATCTGGTCCTGAAAAAAGAAGTCTGTGAAGTGAAATTATACCTGTCAAATATTGTATCCCTAATGATTTATTTTACATAGTTGGGGTTACAGTACCATGTAAAAGTATGTTGCTGTTGACTTGGCACAGAGATAAGTATGACAGAATGGAAGGAGAACAGAGGCATTCCAGAGAGGACCCGATTCAGCCCCTAAGCAGCCTGGCACAGTGAGCACAGTGAGCCGTGCAGAGTGAAGTGCAAACACAGAGCTTCATTCAGCCCCCCGTGACTTCACCTCATCATTGCTACCGACTTAACCAATTCAGACATTCATAATTTCACAATGGGAATTTATATCACAATACAAACGTATCTTGTTTAATCTAGCAACAGTTCCCCGCAAATGTCCATATGAGTACATTACATTGAAATCTCGTCTTCCCTACTAGCAGCCACGTGGCAGTGTCAGAAGCTAGGAAACTGGTGTTAGCTCATAAGCTCCCCTCCAGCCTCGGGGGGGGGCGGGGAGGAGTGGGGGGGTGGGAAGGGGATCATACTAATTCAGACCCTTTATTTTGTAAACATTCGTTATCCCCCTAATATACACGATTCTGAAATTGTGTCATGACTGAGGTGAAACTCCTCCGATTACCACCTAGGTCTAGGAGAACCAGCGTACCACTCGCTTCCTTTACTTAGTTATGGGAAGGGAAGGCAATATTATATAATTAAGGTAACGTTGTAAATTTTCATCCATAGCAAGGCGCTTCTTACAGTGAAACAGGACTCTGTTAATAAGTCAGCCAGGACAATAGGCATAAACCAGGACGATCCCAGACAAACTGGAATACATGGTCAGTTGGGGTAAAATTTTTAAAAGGATGGGATCTGGAAGTCAGGAAACCTGGTTCTCATCCTCCATTCTGCCAGAACACATCATAAGAGTTAAGTTTCCGGTTTCTCTGGCCCTCAGTTTCCCCAGCTATAAGACAGGGGATTAGACAAAATGGTCTCAGATCTCTTACAGCTTTCAAATCCTAACATTCTCTCCAAGGTCTGAGTCTCCCTGGGTGATTTGGAGATGAATAAGACACGTTCTCTGCCTTCAGGGTCTTGGGTAACATAAATCCAGAAAGTCATAACAATGTCCTGCCTGGAGTTGCTCAGAAACAGTCTATTCTGGACATCTATTCTCATTTGTCTCACCTTATCAAGAACTGCTGATAATATTACCCCTCTTAGTTAGGCAAACCAAAAGCTTCATCATTCACTTGTTTCACAATGAAAATCTTAGTTTAAGTAGATTTCTTTTCTTTGATTGTTGTGACTCAGTTTATCTGCATAATATGAATTAGATGTTGGGTAGATAGCTACGTAGGAAGGAGACAAAAATAATACTACTTCTTTCACCTAAACCAGGAAACAGAACATTTTTAGAAATTTCAGACCTCAAATGATAACAAAATAAATTTATTTTGTCACACACAGTGATAATATCAACTTCTTTTGACACCTTAGTTTCCAAAATCAGTTACTCTTGGTTCCCATGGAATAACTTTTAAAGAGGCTGTGTCCCAAAGTATATATTCAGTTGCTACTGGTCCTTTCTTTGGTGTTAGAACTACTTCAATAATGATTCCCTAAAAGCTCACTGAGTGGTATAAAATATGCTTTCAGTCTGGGCTAGTCTCCAAATGGGGTCAGCTCTGCAGAGTTACCCCTGTTGGACCAGACATGCGTTAAGTCTGTAGGGAGAAGGAACAAGGTCTGTTTCTTATGTTCTCATCCCACGACCCCTTTGGGGGACCCTCCTATAACTTCAACCCTTCAGTCCTACCCTCTCCTATGCCCCATCTGAGAGACTGGGAGGTGATTTTTAATCACTTTAATTTGAAAATATTCATACGTGCAGTGCTGTCACTGTTTCTGCAACAGTGAACACAGTTTTAAGGTGAAAGTTCTGCTCTGGGACAGCTCTTTGTCACCAGGTGGACATGGACATTGTAAGTGATGAGAAATTTCAAGTGTTGAGATACTGTTGATCTCAATTCTCCTTACAACTAGCACATGGTAATGGCCCAGAGAATAGAGAGAAATCATTTCCCCGGGTGTGTGTGGGGGGGGGGGGGGCGTTTGGTGTGCATTCTGTGATGGCCCACGGAAGTTTGATTTATATGATTGTTTTATTGAGGGATATTACCCCTCCCCACCACCACCACCACCACCACCTCCAAACCCAAGTGCCCAAAGACTGCTTTGGAGGAAAGAAATCTTATACAATTTTAATGAGATGATTAAAGATGAGGTATATGAATCTGCTTCATAATAACAAAATAAAAGCTAAAATTTCCTTGGGTCCTCGTTGTGTGTTAGGCCCTGTTCTAAGCTCTTACATGTTTAAATCATTTAATCTTCACAACCACCCTATAAAGAAAGTAATGTTGTCTCTACTTTATAGATGAGCAAGTAGAAGCTAAGAGCAGTAAAGTAACAGGCCTCCAAATCACCCAGCCATGAAGTGGCAAAGCTAAGCCTTAACCCCAGGTCTGCTTAACTCCAGTGCCTGTGTTCATTCCACTGCA